CTTTAAAAGAGAACACATTTTAATATGAATTAATAAGTATGTGCCCTTTGAAATGGAAAATTAGATGTTGTGGAAGCTGGAATCAACACGTTTTGTCTCCAAATGTTAACGAAAGAAATGCAAAAAACCGCCTGCCTTTAAGAGAATATAATATAACTTGATCGCTCTGTTTCTTCTATTGTTTGACAAATATCTCCTGCAAAGTGACTATTCTATTGTTTGTAAATTTGCATGTTTGTGATCGTATTAGCCCCCTGGAGTTCTACGTATTTGACCATTTCACTGCTTGTGGTTGGTAAATTGATATTGTTTTATTTATTCCATTTTTAGTTGGTATATTTGACACTTTTGTTTACTTTAAGTATCATATATTTAAACTGTAGACAATCTTAAGCCCTAGTATTAGTATTGACAAACTAATAAAAATTCTCTCTTTTTCAACTAACTACTAGATACTAGTTATTTCTGTTTATATGTTTATTTGAGATAGAATGTATAAAATGTGTTAAATATATGATAACACAATTAAATACACAAAGTAAAGACAGATCCAAGAAACAAAAAATAATACTTATGAAGATATTCAAAGTAAACTCTCAAAACTTTTATGTAACAGTTTTAACAGTAATAATAAAAAAAATGAGAATGGAAATAAAAGAAAATAGCAGGTTTATAGCAATAACAAACCATATGTCTTTAGAAAATACCAGATCAAACGTCAGTTCAGAAAACATAGATAAACAAAAGATTTATCAACATTTACAATATCAAAGATAAGGTTAAATTCAGTTCCTACTTCACTTATGGCACATGTTGTATTGCTCAAGATAGGTGATTGTAAGTTATAAATGCAGGAAAGAATATGGGATCACGGCTACGAAAAATAAAACATGTCTGGCGTCAACAATGTACTCTTATTCTGAGGCAGCAAAAACCTTCTATCACTGAAATCTTAAGCTTTTTCAGGGAGAAACACAAGCCATTTAACTAAAATTTTCCATACAGTTACTGCCTATGTTGCTACTTAAAGATGAAAAGATTCTACTGGGAAAACTGTCTTCCTTTTGTCGATAAGGTTTGTTCAATGTCAAGGAGTCAACACGAAAGTCAGGATATGATGCCGATATTCGTCAATTACGATATAGAGGAACATCAAGGATAATGTTATCTTCTTTTCAGTTATCCAGAAAAAAAACCTGTATGGAGTAAGCCTCAACAAAACGGAAAGGAAATGAATTCAGATAATCCTAATAGGAATTTCAATTCCCGTTTAAAAACACGTCGGTCAAAAGAATTAATTTATATATTAAAAAATTATATAAACTGTCATCATTTTCCATTCTGTTTTGTCGGTCTTTCATCTTGCATAGCAGAAAAGTGGTCTGTTCTGAAATTAATCGACAATATTTTTTTTCGTTTTGTGAAATTTCTTACTGAGTCTGATTTCGCATGGCAGGTGAGTCCTACATAGCAGAAGATCCTTACCGTGTCAACGCACCGGTCTCGTTTAATTTTGTAATTCATTTGATACTCTAAGGGTTCTTTTAATCTTGGTTTGTGCATTCAAAATGGATTTACGGTTTTTTGATCATCAGTAAACTACTGCTGCTACCTTTCCCTTTAACTATGACCAAAACGCATAACATCTTGTAGGCTAGAAAAGAGCCGATATTTCAAAGGAAAAAAAATAACGGCCCGATGTTATGTAGCGTAGTTTTAACTGTACGAGGGTCATTAAAAATGGAAAGGGATGATTATGTAGGGCCAACGTGATTAAGACAGCAACCTAAGAAACAAATTCAGACAGAATAGACATATGGAGGTCATCCCAAGGCCTTCGATGCCAAAGTCCAACCATTTAGCTCTGTCTTCTTAGTCTCTTTCGCAGTTAATTTCTAGTAAATAAAATTGAACAACTCATATTCATGGGACAATACACCATAAAAGCCAAAAGATCCCAAAAGAGTATTCGATAGACATAAGAACTTGAGATAAAGTAATACAACAGATACAGTTAAGTCTGCCTTATATCTTGACTTAGATCTAGACATTGACAATGAGGGTCGGTTGAAAGCAAAACTCTTCGACAAAAGAGATGATTCTAGCTTCCCAAATGGGAACTTTCCATTTCTATGTAGCAACATTCCAGCAGCGCCTGCATACGGAGTATGAATATCCCAGTTAATAAGTATTCCGGAGCTTGCATTTCCTAGCATGATTTCCTTGATAGTGGGTTACTGCTCACAAGGAAAATATTTAACCAAGAGTTCCAAGTGGTGAAGTTGAAATCATCCCTTTGTACATTTTACGGACGCAATCACGACTTGATTGACCGTAATGGAATATCTGTTTCACAGATGACGACAGATATGTTCCAAGCTACAATCCCGTCCTCTTTTCCCCGAATGTGACATTCCAAATTAGCCTGAATACCGAGTTGGTACTTACAAGATTAACACGACGGGTGCCACATACGGAGCAGGATCTGCTTACCCTTCCAGGAGTACCCGAGATCACTACAAGTTTTTGGTGGGGTTCATGTTGCTCAGCCTTAACTTTTTTATGTTTTGTTTTTTGTAGTGTTGTTATCTGTTTGTCTGTTTGTCTGTTTGTCTGTTGGTGTTTTTCTTTTTTAGCCATGGCATTGTCAGTTTATCGACTTATGACTTTGAATGTCCCTTTGGTATCTGTCGCCTCTCTTTTAATGCAGCAAATATACTGTCATATACTGTCATCTTTGCACAGTAACTTGAGGATAAGACTTTTGGTAAATTAAGATAAACTTTCGTCATTCAATCAACTAGGAGTTTCTCAAGGCTGAAATTAACCTCCTAATACGAACAAAATAAACAGTAAACAACAAAAAGTATATGTTGATTATATTTATTTATGCATTTACTGTGAACATATGTATTTAGTATTTCATTTCATTTGCCACATATTTTGTCCTGTGATTAGATAGATTGTTTAATGAGGAACGACATATCACAGATAATGATATGTAGTGATACATTCTTCCTTTCTCTGATTCGGAGTCGTTTCCACATTTGATATTCCAAATCCTTATGTGTCCAATCAACTATTTAGCTGCAAAGGAAGAATATTTTTAACCCTTACCTGTTGTGTTTAGTCCTTTATCAATTTTTGTAATGTTGTCCAGAAGAACCATTTTCGCTTATATTCAGTATGTCAATGTCATTGCAAATAAACAAATACATAAAACCAGAATATACATTATGATCCAAGTTCATCTTCGATTGAAATACTAACCAAATGCAGCTTTAAAGGATGACATAGATTTCCTGTTTTCATTAAATTGGCTATGACCGTTCCAAAAAGGTACACAATCCACTTGAACCTATATTTAGAGCCTATTAACGCCAACCCGTCAGCAGTTAATGCAAAATAAAAGTAATCAAAAATTCAAAAAGAACTATAAAATCGAAAAAAAAAAATACTTGAATTTTACTGCAAGGAAATGCACCACATGAAAATTTAGATAACAGATATGAAAAATTAACAATTATTTTTCACGCAATTGGTATATTTAAAACATTGACTACAATATGCAAATAAAGTCATAAAGCCATGTTGAAATCAGTGGATTAAACCCAATTGAAGAAAAAAATATATGTCTACTGTATCACTTCTGCACTGTGAGTTTCCTTCTTTTTATATACGAATATTAACATTTTCGTTAGTTTTATATCCAAATCACCGAGCAATAAATTTGATGAATTATATTTACATCTCCACATTCATTGTAGCATTTTTATTAGGCACAAAATACTTTTGGAAAACACTTGTTATACATACAAATGACTTCCGAACTACGTTCTTAGAGAAACTGTTTTTTGGAATAAAAAGGCAAAATGTTTAAAGCTTTATATATAGAGGAAATCAAGTTCAATTACATGTAAATATCACAAAATGCCCTAATCTTGACAATATTACCAACTGGACGCCTCATGTTACTCCCAATGTAATATCTCTTTTGGGAATATGTTTCTTTGTTCAAAATCAAAACAATCCATTTGATATCTTTCTGTGTGCCTGATACGATCAAAAGCAAGTTTACAATGAAAAGATACCCACTCGATGATTGGAGTGTACGCAAAAATGTGTATTCACTATAGTAAGGGAGTAATTATTTTTGAACATATGAATTGTTTATAAAAAAAATTTCATCTGTTGCTTGGGCATTTTTGTCTAGAGTTTGAATATTTAAGATTATATTCTAGATTCAAAGGCTTCCTGATATATGTGGCATTTGACAATATAATCTTCGTAACTATTTAAAGTGGCAATAAAGAGTCTTTGTCGTACTCATTAAATGTAAAATTATCTTCTGTTGATTACTTTTTCAAATCGTGAATGTGCAATAGATTATAAGGAAGACAGTTAAGGATCTGATGAAAATGAAATATAAAAATATTTATTAGAACATCTTCAAGTAATAGTTTTTTCCTGATTTGAAAGGGTTTTCACTTTCGACAATATATTGTGATTCTAAATAAAAGCATACGGCATGTGAAGACCTATCTTTTGATACATATAATTATAAAGTCATGAATTGTCAAAAATCTGTTATATTTTTCAAACTACATAATAAAATAGTATCCAGTTTTGTGTTTCCCTTTTTCCTTAATGCATTGCGTACTGGTAATGTACAATGTTTTACTGCATCGAGTTTACTAACTATCAAATATCAAAACAAAGAAAAATAGAAAACATCATAATATTCAATTACATGAAGTTAACAAAGAATTGTTTCCTTTTAGCTAAAATGCGAGAGAAAAAAATCTAAAAATAAAACAACAAAAAAGTTTCATATTTCAGCCACAAACAGCGAGAGAGTTATCTAGGTTGAAACACTTGGGGGTATATTTGATCACACAGGGTTGCCAATTATAAACAATGGAATCTTCACTTAGTAGGAGATCTTTATTATCAATGGAATTACCCAGGCAAACGACTCGGGATCTATAAAAGGGCTGGAGATTTTACATTTGGCATAACACTTTTCTACTTACTTATCAAACATTCAAAGTTTTTAAAAAGAAATTGGAAAGCATGGTTTGCTACGAGAACACTGTTTCCTGTGCCGTTGTTGGTGATGGAATGATTGGCAAGACATGCCTTGCTAAAAGATTTGCCGGAAGCCAATTCTCAGACAAGTATGTTGCTACAGTTGCAGAAACATCCACTGGATCTGTGTCTGCTTACGGTGACAAATACAGCGTCAATATCTATGAGGTAAATATCTATTTTTTTATAAAAAAAAGTATTTGTAATTAGTTAATAATGAATAAAATGAAATATATTTAATGAGAAATTTAAAACCAATTTAAGCATTTTCATCAAACTAAATATCCACAATATTATCAAATTACTTATGATTTTTCTCTTTATCTTTTCAGCATGAAGATCAATCAGCAAGATCCAAAACAATTACAGAATCTGATGTCATTGTTGTATGCTACAGTGCAGTTGACAAAGAATCATTTGAAAACGTCAAATCTTTTTGGATTCCACTTGTCAGAAAGCTCAGTAAGAAGAAACCAATTGTTTTAGTTGCTACCCATAGTGACATGCGTGATGAAAATAATACCGACCATGTGTCAGACTCTGAAGGACAAAACTTTATGAAATCAATAAATGCTGACTATTACAACAAATGTTCTGCTGCTACAAATGAGGGAGTAAAGAATGTCTTCGAAAGTGTCGTCTTCGCCGCTATTAGATATAGAAAAAAGAAAACCAATGTGCTGAAACGTGTTTTCGCACGATGAACTTGAACTTATCTCTGCCCTGAGATAAACCTATATTTTACACATCTTGAAATGTGTTTAGAATAGCAAAAAACTTGCTGTAAAAAGACTTTGAGATAGAGAGTTGGAGATGGAATGTACCACTGGTGTACATTCCTAAGACGGATTCAAATACCGCTGTCGCATAACAGTGATTGAGATGGAGAATAAGTAGTTCCGGTGATGTTCAAGGACACAAACTTACAAAAACAATATGAAATTAGTCATGTTGATGAACTAAAAGAGAAAATAACTAATTTAGAGAAAAGACACAAACAATACTTGTATATTATTGTAAAAATAATAACAGTTATTACTCTAATTTATGTTGTAAAAATAAATTATATAACATGAAAAATATTTGTTCTGTTAACCATTTACTTATAATATATTGAAGAGATGACATGTAAAAGTTGATATAATCAGTAAACTTTTGATACAAATCATAGGAAATATAAAAATAAGAAGATGTGGTATGTTTGCCATTGAGACAGCTCTCCACAAGAGACCAAATGACAAAAAAATTAACAACTATAGGTCATGGTACGGCCTTCAACAATCAGTAAAACACATACCACATAGTCAGCTATAAAAGGCCCCGTATACATTTTGAAACAAAATAACAATGTTACTGGGTAACACGTTTTAATTCAAAAGAAAATAAGAAAATCATTGGATACATCAAATCGATAAAGGAGAGACATCATCAAGAATACTCATAAAAAAGACGAAGAGACAGGCAAAAGTACACAAAAAAAAAAAAACTACAGATTAAAATAAAGGTTATGAGGTGATGGTAAACGTTTGTGCTCCAAATGGCAAAGCAATTCCTGTCAATATCCACTAGTTTTTTTTATAATGCTCGAATTAATGCACACTTTCAACACAAGTTTTAAATTCATTTAAATTTTTTCAACACCTATATCTGTTCATGTATTAGGCATAACAAAGAGATAAAAGATGCAAAGCGGAAATTAAAAACGCATAAGCGGATGAAAACTGACAACGTCATGGCAAAAACTAACAAATGACAAATAGACAAACAACAAATCAAACCATTACATAGAAAACTAAAGAGTGAGCAACACTAACCCCGCCAAAAACTGGGGGTAATCTCGAGTTATGTTTATCCGACTTATATCAGTCCTTCATCTGTCTGTGCCTACCTGGTTCTAGGGATACTTCTAATGACATTGGTTTACTTTTAATTTATCTTACGTTTGTGAAGTCAAATATAAGTGATTGTGCTCATTCAAAATCATGAAATCTTTATTGTGGACAAAATCTCCTTAAAAGCGAAAACATTTTGATATGAATTAATAAGTATGTGCCCTTTTGAAATGGAAAATTCGATGTTTGGGAAGCTGAAATCAACATGTTTTGTCTCTAAATGTAAACGAAAGAAATGAAAAAACCGCATGCCTTTTACAGAATTTAAGTTGATCTCTTGTTTCTTCTATTGTTTCACCAATATCTCCTGCAAAATGACTAATCTACTGTTTGTACATTCGCATGTATGTGATCGTATTAGTCCCCTTGAGTTCTACCTATTTGACCATTTCACTGCTTGTGGTTGGTAAATTGATATTAATTTTTTTCATTCCATTTTTAGTTGGTATAGTTGACACTTTTGTTTACTTTAAATATCATATATTCAAACTGTTTACAAACTTAAGCGGTAGTACAAGTATTGACAAACAAATCAAAATTCTCTCTTTTTTTAACTAACTACTAGATACTAGTTATTTCTGTTTAACCATGTTTATTTAAAGATAGGTTGTATAAAATGTGTTAAATATATGTTAACACAATCAAATCCACAAAGTAAAGACAGATCCGAGAAACAAAAATAATCCTTATGAAGATATTCATAGTAAGCTATCATAATTTTTATATATCAGTTTTAACAGTAATTATAAGAAAAAATGGGAATGAAAATAAAAGAAAAAAGCAGGTGTATAGCAATAACAAACCATATTTCTTTAGAAAATACCAGATCAAACGGCAGTTCAGAAAGCACAGATAAACCAACGATTTATCATCATTTACAATATCAAAGCCCAAGGTTAAACTCAGTTCCTACTTCACTAATGGCACATGTTGTGTTGCTCAAGATAGGTCATTATAAGTCATAAATGCTGGAAAGAATATGGAATCACGACTACGAAAAATAAATTATGTCTGGCGTCAACAATGGACTCTTATTTATAAGCAGCAAAAAACATTCTATCAATGAAATCTTAAGACTCTTATTTTTAAGCAGCAAAAACCTTCTATCAATGAAATCTTAAGCTTTTTTGTTGTTTTTTTTTTGGGGGGGGACCCAAGCCATTTAACTAAAATTCTCCATGCAGTTACTGCTATGTTGCTATTTAAAGATGAAAAGATTCTACGGGGAAAATGTCTTTCTTTGTCAATAAGGTTTGTTCAAGGTCAATGACTCCATGTGAAAGTCAGGAAATGATGCCGACTTTCGTCATCGGTGGTACTTTAAATTCTTAGTTCAATTACGATATAGAAGAACTTCGATGATAATGTTATCTTCTTTTCAGTTATCATGAAAAGACCCTGTATGGAGTAAGCCTCAACAAAACGGAAAGGAAAGGAGTAAAGATAATTCTAATAGGAATTTCGATTCCCGTTTAAAAACACGTTGGTCAAAAGAATAAATGTATATGTCAAAACATTATATATACTGTCATCATTTTCCATGTTTCTCAACTTCTTTCTTCTATCTTGAAAAGCAGCACAGTGGACTGTTCTGTAAATTAACCGACAATATCCTTTTCCGTTTTGTGAAATTTCTTACTGAGTCTGGATTTGCATGCCACATGTGTCCTGCATAGCAGAAGATCCTTAGCGTGTAAACGCATTGGTCTCGTTTAATTTTGTAATTCATTTGATACTCTAAAATGTTTTTTTTTTTTAATCTTAATTTTTGCATTCAAAATGGATTTACGCGTTTTGATCACCAGTAAACTACTGCTGCTACCTTTCCTTATAACTTTAACTATGACGAAAACGCGTAACATCTAGTAGGCTAGAAAAGAGTCCATATATATAACAAAATGTGACACATTTCAAAGGAAATAAATAACGGCACGATGTTATGTAACGTAGTTTAAACTGTACGAAATTCATTAAAAATGGGAAGGGATGATTATGTAGGGCCAGCATTAATAAAACAGCAACCAAAATTCAGACATAATAGACGTATTTACACTTGTATGCAAACTTGTCCGCCATTACGTAAAATCACACAGGTTCCCGTAAACTTTGACATCATAATTCAAAACATTTGACGTCACAATTAAAAACTGATTGTTGTCTGACGTCAAAGGGTGATTCGGAATAGATCTAAGGTCATTCGGAGACAAAATATAGCTAAATACCAAAAGTGTAAATACGTTTATAGACATCTGGAGGTCACCCCAACGCCTTCGATGTCAAAGTCAAACCACTAAGCTCTTTCTGTTTAGCCTCTTTAGCAAATAATGTCCAGCAGATAAAATTGAACAACCCGTAATCATGGGGCAATAAACCAAAAAAGCCAAAAAGAGCCTATGGTCATTCAATCAACTAGGAATTTCTCAAGGCTAACACTAACCTTCTAATACGAACACGTTATCTATTATAAAAAAATAATGGTAGACATCAAGTACTATGCAAACTGGGTCATATACCAATAAGTAGATTATATGCTATTTTTCAGGAGTGTGATAAAATTTCATTTTTTAGCCCGTTGTATGAATACATCCGTATTATTACAGCCTTTTGTCATCACAGGCTGTTTCCTATTATCGATGAACCTGAAAATCATAAAAGGCATTTTCTTAAATTAAAATATATAAATAGAGGTATTGATTTTATTTACTTATCTAGTATATTCAATGACTCTACCATCTATAGCCAAATACCTCCATATTTTGATAAGACAGAACCACCTATTATTTCGTATTCTTATAAAAAAAACCAGCAGAAGTTTGATTTTTAATCATACGTCAGTTACATCAGACGTCAATATAGAATATAATGCTCCTTCCACTTGAGACTGTGAAACATCTAGTTTTAGATATGTTCCCTATGGTCATGTCATTCCAGGAGACCCCAACATCGCCGAAGACCGTTATGTTAAAACTTTTCTTAAGAAAGGACCTAAATATCGTCCTCCATCTATAATAGATTGGAAACATTGTCGTCAGATCATTAAAGACGCTTTGTCTGCCTACTGTAAAAATTGGTGTAAAAGTCTAAAATCTGATAAAAAATCTCTAGACAGTTATTTGAATAACATTATGAAAACTGTTGATATTCGTATATCTCATTTTGAAAACAATTCTGAAATTAATAGTAGTGTCAATGATATACCCATTTCTAGAATAAAAAATAAACTCCGAGTACTCGCAAAGCGGTTTGTGTTCGTACCGCAGACAAGGCAGCCAATACTATACGGAAGTTCTCCAAAACGAAATTATCAATTCGTCTACATTCAGTTCCGAACGCTCCACAGAGAGTCAAATTGTAAACAAGCATATCACTGCCACTACCCAGCTTAAAGCCTTTTCCGAGAATTTGAAAGTCCCGACTATGTACTGGTTACCTAAATTACACAAACAACCATTTGAATTCCGTTTCATCTCCGCATCTAGTAAGTGTTCTACTACTAATCTGTCAGTGCTTCTAACTACCTCCCTTACTACTATCAAAGAACTTGTAATTAACTTTCATAAAGCTTATCAAAATAATGGTATTAATTATTTTTGGAGTGTTAAAAATTCCTTAGAGGTTTTGGATAAAATACGTGTTTTATGGTCCTTTTAATTCTGTTAACAGTTATGATTGTTCTACTCTCTACACTACACTTTAATATAATCTTATCAAGAAATAATTTTAATATTCAATTAAATGGTCTTTTGAAAAATCTCATTACAAATTTATTTGCTGTAACTCGTTTAAAGCCTTTTTCTGTAACGAAAAAGGAAAGTATGCTAGATACAATTACTGGAAATGTGAAGATATGATTGAAGCTTTAAATTTTCTCCTGGACAACATATATGTACATTTCGGCGATAAAGTGTATCGACAGGTAGTAGGTATTCCTATGGGCACTAACTGAGCCCCTTTAATAACAGATTTATTCCTTATTGCTATGAATCTCAGTTTATGACCGAACTCAGTAAAGACACGTCATTGTTACATTTGGTTGATACATTCAACAATACCTACCGTTATCTTGATGATATTTTTTCGTTAAATAATCCAGAGTTCTCTAAATATACTACCGAAATTTACCCAAAGGAACTTACTTTAAATAAATCTAACATAAACAGCAGTAGTTGTCCTTTTCTAGATTTAGAC